CACACGATTCCTTGTGTAAAATAATCACAATTTCAGCAAAAATATTTATTATTTAAAACAGGGGTGTCCACCTAGTTTCACCCCTGTTTTAAATAATAAATATTTGGAGTCCAACAGGGTGTCCAACAGGGAGCCCAACAGGGGTGTGCAACATGCGGCCCGCGGGCCGCATGTTGGACACCCCTGTTAGCCCAAGGCAAGTTCCAATGCGGCCCAATAAACGTGTAAACATAACCGACAAATGTTTTAATTTTTTTTATTATTTATTTATTTCAACGGCATAAACTCAGAAAAGAAATTTCACAAAGCCATAAACCTTTATTTANATACTTGTGTATTGGGCCACAAGTATATGTTATATATACTTGTGGCTTAAAACTCCTTGACTTCATCCAATGCGGCCCAGAGAAACAAAAAGGTTGGACACCCCTGATTTAAAACAAAGTAATCAAACGAATTATGTATAACACATAAATGAGTACGAAGAATTCTATAAATGATTGTAGTGTACACTGGAACTATCACAAATAATGGAAGTTAGGCAACTGTGGATTGAGAACAGTTTGTTCTTGAATTTGTCTTTTATGTGATTTACGCTGCTGTAGATATCTGTAGAAACAAACATTTCACACAATTTATGGGATATCTCAGAATATAATTATGTATTTTATGCAAAAATTGTCATGTTTTTTTATTTATAAATTAATAAATACGGAGAAATAAATATAAGTTGAAAATTAAGTTAATGTAATACAGTATTCAATTTTTTTATCATTCTAATTATAATAATAAATGAATATTTTATTTATAATTACGCAGTTGACCCAGTTTAATTGAGTTTTCAATTTTTTATAAAGATACAAAATGGAATTCGTATCCATATTTCTCGTGTTTATGTCTTACAATGCACAATTCACTTCTCTGTCACGTTATAATGCATTCCATTTGTGGAATTTGTTTTCTACATTCAAGTATCCTTCCTATGTTGTTTTATGCAGAAATTTCGAAAATTTTAAAAAATAATAATGGCATTTACCAACGGTATCTTTGGTAAATATCATAATTTCCTGTAATCACTGTTCATCCTCATCCATGGCATTGTGTTGATCCTTTATACTAAATTATGTAATATGTGTTCCTTCACCAATTTTTAAGCACAGGCCTGTTACAATAACTAATTAAATTAGACACAGGTGCTATATCTAGTAGACAATTTTGATATTAAATTAGGAAACAAACTAAAATACCAGAAATTACAAAAACAATTTATGTATAGTACAGTTTTGTTTCAAAAATTAGTTTTATACTATTAATTAATCGTTATAAAAATTCCGGCAACGAGTTGCGTAACTTTTCCGAAAAATATGAAATTTTATTTAAATAATAACTTTTATATTATTAACCATAATAAATAAAATTGAATGTGGCGCCATCTGTTATCAGATTTTGTTTCAAAAGGTTTTTCTATTAATATTTCTTATAATTTGACAAAAAGGTAAATAAAGACGAGTTTTATTATTATTTTTTTAAATTGTAAATGCTAATAACAAGTAAAATTCTCTATTTAGTCCTATCCCTCTCGAGATATGACAAGTTACTGTGTTTCTCTTCCAATCTCCTCGACCTTTAACCATCAAAATTGAATACGAACAATGCACCTTATATACAAACTACCAAACCAAATTTCGTTATTTAATCATTACCCAATCCAGAGATATTAAACGAAATGCACGCAACGCACACTTACTTCTTGTTATTTTAAATAGAAGAAAATTATGATACTTTATAACATGAAGTCAAAATGCCCCAATTAAACACTTATAAATAACAAACACTTGTATTAAGATATAAAAGTTGGCAGATTTCAAATTAGAAATGAAAATTCTAAAATGTTGCGCTTTGTAATTTTACTCTCCTTGATTGGAAGGTAAGCCCATTTAAATATTTACACCATATTTTATATATAAACTTATAAAAATTACCTAAAGATGAATTTCTTTCTAGTCTGTACGCATTGTCATGCCCTTGCTGGGAATGGACAGAAAAGCAATTAAAGGAATATTGTCCAGACATTTCGACATGTCCTCTTGGTTTAACTCTCGATTCTTGTGGATGCTGCCAAGAATGTGTAAAGGTAAATATTATACCTTATATGCGGATCCTGACTGTGTATTAGTGTTTGGGAAGTATCGAGTAGACTAACTTAAAAATGTTTCTCGTGCTTTTTAAATCATAACGTTTTATCTTTATGAAAATGCTATTTGGATCTTTATAATTTGTTATGAGATAATTCCTTGTTCATTCCTCATTCTTGTTGACTGATCCTACTTCTGGTCAAATCTAACAATTGAAAAAATTGGAATTAGACTGACAATTATACCAATTTTCAAGCATTAAAAAATGAAATCGTATACTAATTCTGATCTGAAACGTAATTACATTTTTCAGGCCATAGGTGAAGTGTGTGGAGGACCTTGGTTTACTTCAGGAAAATGTGGAGCCGAATTTAGATGCCAAACTGACGACGGAAACGAAGTAAGTGACGAAGATTACCCGGGTACTTTGGACAGTGGTACTTGTGTTAGAGACACCGACTAGGCGTAAATCTTTGAAATTGGAGAATATCTAATCTTACAATGAATAAAATACGAAATATGTACTTAAAAATGAAATAAAATTGAAAATTATAATAATTTAAATTATTTTAGATATAATTTTGTGAATTTACAGATCAGACCTTGCTGATCGCGTATTTGATGATCAGGCGATAGACCTTACTCTAAAATTCAAAGGTCGAAGTCTTAAATATTTTCGATAATTCCGAAGGATCGATATCTAATAGCAATAGAAAGCTTACGTTGTATATGCGATGTCATGTCGTGTGTGAATGTTACTGAATGTTAGCTTCTTAGGCACTTACGTGCGGTTTGCTGTTTTTTAAGTTCGTATTGCATACCAAACCATATTATAGAAAGTAATAAAGGAGCTCGAGTCTCAGGAGCGAAGTGGATGAACGAAGTTACGAGACTAATTAGCAGAAGAACAGCTTTATTAGCAAAAGAGAAGGAAAAATCATTAATACGACTTTTAAACTTTTACAAATGAATCACGGACCAAATCAATTGTTACGCGACCATACGATGAAGAAAAAGGAAACCTTCACTTGATCCGTAATGTACAAGAAAAAGAACAGCAGGAGACGATGTTCCGTTGTTCCCGGTCGCTCCCTCTTGTCCTCGGAACACCTTTCTATCTTGACGATTTGGGCCGAACTTTGAGGAAAAAGGAAACGCTTTCCTTGAATGGAGAATGAGACTCGAAGGCAGAACAGAACTAGAATCATTCACTTCTGCTTTTCTCTCTAACAGAGGAAGTTTTCCTTTCCTTTTATTAACCTTATTATGCAAACGAGCGCAACAGCCTCACTCGGACCGTTATTCCAAATTATAATGTCACCCCCACCGCGATAGACGGTACTTGCATTCTTCCAAAATAGAGTTTAAAGTTAATAAATTATTTTAAAAATAGTTTGTCTTTATCTGGATTTTATTTCTATGGCTATTTAAATTAGTGATGTAACGAATATTCGGTTACTATTCGGTATTCGGCCTATTTTTCACTATTCGGCCGAATACCGAATA